AATGGGCAGAGAGAGAGAGAGAGAGAGAGAGAGAGAGAGAGAGAGAGAGAGAGAGAGAGAGAGAGAGAGAGAGAGAGAGAGAGAGGAGAGAGACAGATATAGAGAGATAAACCAGATAGATATAATATATATAGAATCTAGAGAGACAGAGAGAGAAGACAGAAAGACAGAAACCGACAGAACATAGAAGAGAGAGAGAGAGAGAGAGAGAGAGAGAGGAGAAAGAGAAGGAGAGAGAGAGAGAGAGAGAGAGAGAGAGAGAGATGACCCCTGGGCCAGCTGTCACACAAGTAATACAGAGAGAAAGGGAGGCAGAGATTTGACCAAAATACTGTTTTACGCATCCTTCGTACAGCTGCATACCATATAGCAGAGATGGCAAAAGTACCACGGCATCCTCTGACTCAAGTAGAAGTACAGATACTCGTGTTTTAAAAAATACTCTGGTGTGAAAGTAGAAGTACTGACTAAACTTCTTTACTCAAGTCAAAGTAAAGAGGGCTTTGAAATGTACTTCAGTAAAAAGTACCCATTAACTAGCAGCTAGTTTAAAGAGTACCTGACCTCCCTTTATATTAATAGAACAATAATGTCATTGTTAGCTAATGAATGTTTCCATGCTGAACAACGGCAACATGACAACGTTTTCATTGGTCCCTCTTCTTTAGAGAAGACCAGGAAATGATGGATACACGGATCGTGTTCAAATCAATAGGCACGCAATGACTCTAAATAATAATGATCACGCCACCAAACACACATTCAAACTAAAGGAACCAGCCTGTTTGGGAAATGTAAGAAGTAGAAAGTACAGGTACTTGTGTTCAACATGTAAGAAGTAGAAAGTACAGGTACTTGTGTTCAACATGTAAGAAGTAGAAAGTACAGGTATTTGTGTTCAACATGTAAGAAGTAGAAAGTACAGGTATTTGTGTTCAACATGTAAGAAGTAGAAAGTACAGGTATTTGTGTTCAAAATGTAAGAAGTAGAAAGTACAGGTATTGTGTTCAAAATGTAAGAAGTAGAAAGTACAGGTATTTGTGTTCAAAATGTAAGAAGTAGAAAGTACAGGTATTTGTGTTCAAAATGTAAGAAGTAGAAAGTACAGGTATTTGTGTTCAAAATGTAAGAAGTCAAAGTAAAAAGTGGTCAGAAAAATAAGTAGTGGAGTAAAGTACTGATACCAGAAACATGTACTTCAGTACAGTAACGAAGTATCTGTATTCCACTGCTTCCCACCTCTGCCGTATAGACACTCAGTGACATTTCCACACGTGTGCGGTGAACACCTGCCTCTCAGCTTTACTCTGTATTCAGGTTGGCACCGGGAGTAAATGGGCAATAAAGGTTATTCTTTATGATGTGTGTAAGTGGCTCTGCTATGAAATGTCACCGTCACTGTGAAATCGAAGGTCAGTAGAAAGCGACGCGTGGCTGAGAGGGAACAGTTTGGTGGATAATGTACCTGTAAGAAAAGGTGTTATTCCGTTATGCATGTGTGGCTGTGTGGAGAATGGATGTTTTTATCTCACGTGATTCTCCTGTCAGTTCTTTCCTGCTTGTTCCCTGCCCACACAGTCCAACTTAACCCAGTTTCAGCCACCTAAGAAGATGCTTTTACAGAGCACCTGCATGCAGAATACCCTGGCCTACTTTCACAGAACAATCCCGTGCTTCGTCATGACCTACACTATTTCTGTTCTGCACAAACATAAAGTATAAATGCATATTCATTTGAATGCCTGCTGCCTTAACACCAGAATAGAGAGCAGTTTCCTTCTCTTTGCTGCGAGGCTCCTCGACTTACACCATAAAACATTGCTTTTCTTATGTAGCATAAATGAACTACAACTGCATTTCCTTGTGCAACCCTTTGCTATACAAAGACAATACATTAACCTTGAACCATAGATGTTGCATGCTTGGGAAACTGCACTGTTCTGTGTTTATAGGATCTAGATCTAGACGTGCACATACAAATAAAACTCACATTACAAATGTTGTTTCTCAAGTATCTGTTGGTATTCTTAATCCTATTCCCTGTTCAATTGGGTGTACAGTACATTGAGAATTTGCAGCTTGCTTCCTACCTCATTTTCGGGGGGTATGTAGATTCTAATAAATAATTTCCATTCATATTTTTGCTCCTCAAGGACTACTGCCACCACTGCTGCTGTTCTAGCACACCATCGTTGTTGCATACCTACCTGAGACTGAAGTTTTACTTTGACATAATTCATACATTTTTTTTTAAGACGTATTCTAGAGTTCAAATAATTGGGGTGTGTTCGGAGTATATAAATTATTCCGTAAACTGATACTCGTTAACTGACCTGAGCTGTCAGAGTTTATAAAATTCCCGCCTCTCCACTTTATTCTCCGCTCACCTCCTTTCTTTGTGGTCAAGGTGAGAATCTTTTATGCACAGCTGGAGCCACCTCCTGCACAGATACCCCCTCAAATAATTTAACGCCTCCTTTGTGTGTGTGTGTTTGAACTCACATGGGTCAGCTGGGTGCATATCTATTGCTATTAATACAGACATGCAGTCCAAGTGTATTTTTTACTCATCCATGCGGTTATACATTCCTTTTTTAACCTCGCTTTAAACCCACACACTTACATACATGTACAGCTCAGAGGTGGGTGGTGACTATAAGAGTGCAACAGTTTGCAAGTATTACATTACATTTCATTTAGCTGATGCGTGTATCCAAAGTGACGTACGATAAATGCATTAAACAGTGAAGATACAAACTCATAACAGCAAGAAACCTGCAGGTACATTTGTTTAAAATGGCTGAAAGTGCTGGTGCATTAGTTTCAAATAGGCTTACCATTTACGTCTTAACCCAAGTACATTTTACCCCAACAGATTTCACAAAATATATATATTTTGAGGACATATTCTGGAAACCAGGAAATGGGAAATGGGAAACTCTAAAAAGCATAATCAGGCTTCTTTAAGGGACGTCTCTCTTGGAGTCTAGAAGTCAGATTCCTCCAGAAGTAAAGACAGCCTCACTGAACCCCCCCTCACTGAACCCCCCCCTCACCAGTAGTTTCTGACACTCTTTCATGCTCTCCCTCTTGCTAGCCTTGTATTCGGGTGATTGTTTGCTCCCTCGCTGCCTCTCTGGCGTGTTTGTGTGACTCTGTTTGAGGGACTTACAAAGGAGAAGTCTGAGGCGTTTTGGCACAGCAGTCTGGGGAAGACGGCCTGTCTCTGGACGCGCTCCTCGTCCTCGAACACATTGCCGTACATGAAGCCATTCAGCATGGTGGAGTGGGCATGGACATCAATGTAGAACTCCAGACTAACTCTCTGATGGAGGAAACAAAGAGAGAAGAGAGGAGATAAGAAAGCAGCAGGTTAGTGCGGGGGAAAGATGGGATATCTTTCTGACAGTCCACACCAGAGTTTACCCACTGGGATAAAAGGACGACCTTTTCTTTGCCATGGGAGAAGCTTTCACCCACAGGATGAATACACACACTGCAGCCTGACAATATGTTTACTACCTGAAAGGAGCCAGCCACCCACACACAACTTCAATCAGGCTGTCCTTCTGAAGGGCACTCCTACAGTACATGGTGAGCAGAGCATGGTGTAAACACACAAACACACACGCTCTATTTTATGTGGAGACGTCACCCATTCATCACACACTCCATACATATTTATCAGGTTAATATTGACTTCATATCGAGTGTGTAATGTCTTTTTTCTCTCCAACATACGCCGTGCAAAATGGATTTGATAAGATCTGTTTCTCTAGCTCAACTTTGTTATCACTCCATCTACACACACACACACACACACACACACACACACACACACACACACACACACACACACACACACACACACACACACACACACACACACACACACACACACACACACACACACACACACACACACACACACACACACACACACACACACACACACACACACACACACACACACACACAGACCTTTATCACGTCCAGGGAGTTTCCACTGACTTATCTCCAACTTCTAATAACCCTCACGCTGACATGTCTCAGGACTTTAACAGTTCTGGAAGATGATTTCGTGCTCATAAAGGTCTGCGGTTTAAGAGATTTGACATTGTTACTCCTCAATATAACACATCAAAGAAATAGTAGAGATGCTCACGGCTAGAAATAATGAAAAATGGTGGTAGTAAGACAGCACCAGGAACTGGCAGAAACTTTCCAGAAAGTACAAACAGCAGAGCATATTAAAGGAGACATAGTATACTAATTTGTAGGTGTATATCAGTATGTAGTGTCTCTACTTTAAAGAGTCCTCTCCTGCTGATGTTCAGGTGTATATCAGTATGTAGTGTCTCTACTTTAAAGAGTCCTCTCCTGCTGATGTTCAGGTGTATATCAGTATGTAGTGTCTCTACTTTAAAGAGTCCTCTCCTGCTGATGTTCAGGTGTATATCAGTATGTAGTGTCTCTACTTTAAAGAGTCCTCTCCTGCTGATGTTCAAGTGTATATCAGTATGTAGTGTCTCTACTTTAAAGAGTCCTCTCCTGCTGATGTTCAGGTGTATATCAGTATGTAGTGTCTCTACTTTAAAGAGTCCTCTCCTGCTGATGTTCAGGTGTATATCAGTATGTAGTGTCTCTACTTTAAAGAGTCCTCTCCTGCTGATGTCCAGGTGTATATCAGTATGTAGTGTCTCTACTTTAAAGAGTCCTCTCCTGCTGATGTTCAGGTGTATATCAGTATGTAGTGTCTCTACTTTAAAGAGTCCTCTCCTGCTGATGTTCAGGTGTATATCAGTATGTAGTGTCTCTACTTTAAAGAGTCCTCTCCTGCTGATGTTCAGGTGTATATCAGTATGTAGTGTCTCTACTTTAAAGAGTCCTCTCCTGCTGATGTTCAGGTGTATATCAGTATGTAGTGTCTCTACTTTAAAGAGTCCTCTCCTGCTGATGTTCAGGTGTATATCAGTATGTAGTGTCTCTACTTTAAAGAGTCCTCTCCTGCTGATGTTCAGGTGTATATCAGTATTTCGTGTCTCTACTTTAAAGAGTCCTCTCCTGCTGATGTTCAGGTGTATATCAGTATGTAGTGTCTCTACTTTAAAGAGTTCTTTCCTGCTGATGTTCAGGTGTATATCAGTATGTAGTGTCTCTACTTTAAAGAGTCCTCTCCTGCTGATGTTCAGGTGTATATCAGTATGTAGTGTCTCTACTTTAAAGAGTCCTCTCCTGCTGATGTTCAGGGGTATATCAGTATGTAGTGTCTCTACTTTAAAGAGTCCTCTCCTGCTGATGTTCAGGTGTATATCAGTATGTAGTGTCTCTACTTTAAAGAGTCCTCTCCTGCTGATGTTCAGGTGTATATCAGTATGTAGTGTCTCTACTTTAAAGAGTCCTCTCCTGCTGATGTTCAGGTGTATATCAGTATTTCGTGTCTCTACTTTAAAGAGTCCTCTCCTGCTGATGTTCAGGTGTATATCAGTATGTAGTGTCTCTACTTTAAAGAGTCCTCTCCTGCTGATGTTCAGGTGTATATCAGTATGTAATGTCTCTACTTTAAAGAGTCCTCTCCTGCTGATGTTCAGGTGTATATCAGTATGTAGTGTCCTCTACTTTAAAGAGTCCTCTCCTGCTGATGTTCAGGTGTATATCAGTATTTCGTGTCTCTACTTTAAAGAGTCCTCTCCTGCTGATGTTCAGGTGTATATCAGTATGTAGTGTCTCTACTTTAAAGAGTCCTCTCCTGCTGATGTTCAGGTGTATATCAGTATGTAGTGTCTGTACTTTAAAGAGTCCTCTCCTGCTGATGTTCAGGTGTATATCAGTATGTAGTGTCTCTACTTTAAAGAGTCCTCTCCTGCTGATGTTCAGGTGTATATCAGTATGTAGTGTCTCTACTTTAAAGAGTCCTCTCCTGCTGATGTTCAAGTGTATATCAGTATGTAGTGTCTCTACTTTAAAGAGTCCTCTCCTGCTGATGTTCAGGTGTATATCAGTATGTAGTGTCTCTACTTTAAAGAGTCCTCTCCTGCTGATGTTCAGGTGTATATCAGTATGTAGTGTCTCTACTTTAAAGAGTCCTCTCCTGCTGATGTTCAGGTGTATATCAGTATGTAGTGTCTCTACTTTAAAGAGTCCTCTCCTGCTGATGTTCAGGTGTATATCAGTATGTAGTGTCTCTACTTTAAAGAGTCCTCTCCTGCTGATGTTCAGGTGTATATCAGTATGTAGTGTCTCTACTTTAAAGAGTCCTCTCCTGCTGATGTTCAGGTGTATATCAGTATGTAGTGTCTCTACTTTAAAGAGTCCTCTCCTGCTGATGTTCAGGTGTATATCAGTATGTAGTGTCTCTACTTTAAAGAGTCCTCTCCTGCTGATGTTCAGGTGTATATCAGTATGTAGTGTCTCTACTTTAAAGAGTCCTCTCCTGCTGATGTTCAGGTGTATATCAGTATTTCGTGTCTCTACTTTAAAGAGTCCTCTCCTGCTGATGTTCAGGTGTATATCAGTATGTAGTGTCTCTACTTTAAAGAGTCCTCTCCTGCTGATGTTCAGGGGTATATCAGTATGTAGTGTCTCTACTTTAAAGAGTCCTCTCCTGCTGATGTTCAGGTGTATATCAGTATTTCGTGTCTCTACTTTAAAGAGTCCTCTCCTGCTGATGTTCAGGTGTATATCAGTATGTAGTGTCTCTACTTTAAAGAGTCCTCTCCTGCTGATGTTCAGGTGTATATCAGTATGTAATGTCTCTACTTTAAAGAGTCCTCTCCTGCTGATGTTCAGGTGTATATCAGTATGTAGTGTCTCTACTTTAAAGAGTCCTCTCCTGCTGATGTTCAGGTGTATATCAGTATTTCGTGTCTCTACTTTAAAGAGTCCTCTCCTGCTGATGTTCAGGTGTATATCAGTATGTAGTGTCTCTACTTTAAAGAGTCCTCTCCTGCTGATGTTCAGGTGTATATCAGTATGTAGTGTCTCTACTTTAAAGAGTCCTCTCCTGTTGATGTTCAGGTGTATATCAGTATGTAGTGTCTCTACTTTAAAGAGTCCTCTCCTGTTGATGTTCAGGTGTATATCAATATGTAGTGTCTCTACTTTAAAGAGTCCTCTCCTGTTGATGTTCAGGTGTATATCAGTATGTAGTGTCTCTACTTTAAAAAGTCCTCTCCTGTTGATGTTCAGGTGTATATCAGTATGTAGTGTCTCTACTTTAAAGAGTCCTCTCATGCTGATGTTCAGGTGTATATCAGTATGTAGTGTCTCTACTTTAAAGAGTCCTCTCATGCTGATGTTCAGGTGTATATCAGTATGTAGTGTCTCTACTTTAAAGAGTCCTCTCCTGCTGATGTTCAGGTGTATATCAGTATGTAGTGTCTCTACATGTCTCCATGCTTTAATGTTCAAAAAGCTCTTTATTTTTCTCATACTGCCTGTGCTGCAGCACCTCTTTTCACCCTCTGTCTGAAACCAGAGCCCAGTCTGCTCTGATTGGTTAGCTGGCCGGCTCTGTTGTGATTGGTCAACCGCTTAGAGATGTCCCGCCCCTTAGCCTATCACGTACAATGTGTTGGAGCGCTAGCCAATAGAAGCGCGAGTGTTGCATAGTGATGTCACTATGTTACAGAAGTAAACAAAGGAGTCCAATTCAGGCAGAGATTTGGGTATTTTAGCTTTGCAGACCATTTAAATGCTCAAAAACCTGTATAACTCACTACAGGAAAGACAAAAACCCCACAAGCATTAAACGGCCCCTTTAATTCCCTCTACACTTCAATCAAATCTGGATAATTGCACATAATATATTCTTAAGTGTTATTCAAGTTATCAATGTAATGTGGAATTGGGCCATAGCTGTAGACTCTAATTCACCCAGGCTCTATCAGCGTAAATGACGCTCAAGTTGCTTTATATACACCACAATATAACAATTAATTTAATTATAGTTTAGTTTAGCAATGCATCCAACTGGTTGCATATCTTTCATATCCTGCAGGAAACGTCAGCTGCAGGTAAAACAAGATGAACTAAACCAACTGGAGCTGCTATCTTTTTAGCTTGTATTTGAATGGACCATCAGAGGAGAAACATGATTTCGATTGATCTGTAATCTTGCTGTATTTAGCTCTTTTTAAAGTCTTCAACAAATCTGATGTATTCATTTAACCTCAACCTTAAACTTCAAACCAGCTCAGATCTAAAGAGCAGCACAAATTACCTCACTTGGTGGAAATAAAAAAACCTTTAAGTTCTCACTTCAATGGTCTTAAAGTGTTTCTGACAAGGGCGCACGCACGCACGCACGCACGCACACACGCACGC